CTTCTCGACAGCTTTCAGGCTACAAACAGCACCATGCCCAGCTAGGCAGGAGAGTATTGACCAAGGTGAATATAGCATTTAGAAAAATCCAATTCAGGCTGATAAACCAGCCTTTTATAAGTTCAACAGCCAATTACATCCAAGTCTCACCTACTATACGGCTCATAATGGTCTGCATTTATAAATTAGTACTCAGCCTTAGGGAAAGGCACTGTACGTATTAACATAGTTAATAGTAAGAAATCGCTATGAACTGTAAACCATGACTCTTCTTTACTGCTTAAAACGCGCACGTAAAACTAATATAATGCTTTAAAAGCTCTATATTGATACAGAGAACACAGAATGGAATTTTTTTTGCACATAATTATTGTGAACTGTACACAAGCCAATCTTGTCAAAATAGGGATCTCATTGGCACACAAAGCAGGGTAAAAAATTCTGTTTAAATCTAAGATATTATTTCTAGTAAATGTGTCCAGAAACTACTTAAAAACTGTAATTAAAAATTGAACTGCTTATTCAAAAGCAGGCTACCTTCACAAAATGCCTCTAGCACCAAATGTTATACACAATATAGCACATACCAGTGGTCATTAGGAGTGAGCAAAATTATACTGTATTAATAAATAAATAAATAAATAAATAAAGATCTGATCTGCTTACTCACAACAGAAAAAAAATTGTTTCCTATTCTGGCGGTGTATTGAAGTCAACCGCACTGAAAAGTCAATGACGGTCAGATATCCTAGGGAGAGAATGGCTTATCAACAAAGTAACAATTAAAATTATCTCCAATTCATTAAATAATAGCCCAAGTGAGGTTCCCTCAATGCATCCTCCCGCCCCCACAAAAAAGCCTCTGGGAACGCAATATCCAGTGGTTTAACAAAGAGGTCTCTGGCTAAGGCTTAACTTCAGGCCTTACAAACTACTGCTTCATTGCTCCTTAAAAGCCCCACTCAGACAATGTATGGGAAAAAATGATGATAAATACCCAGGGCTGAGAGTTCATAGTACGCCACTGGGAGTACTGTACCTCTGACACCCAATTGCACACATTTTTCGACCCTGCTCAAAAGAAATAAGTGAGCTATCAATATAATGAGGCGAAGATTGAAAACTAATTTAAAGAAAATAAATCAGTTATCAATAAAGTATGACACAGATTGAAACATAACACTGTATGCTGATTTTACTCTGAAAACTCTTAAATTCATTACCAGCCAATTTAAAAGGGTAACGGTAATGCATGGAGAATTTATGTAGTATGTAATTAAAGTTCTAATTGAAGCTGGCTGACTGCCTTGGGACAGAGCTGATGATGTGAAAGGATTATATTCTGAGGTGGAAACCCAGTTCTAGCAGAGAGAGAATTGCCCAGGGCGGCACCAGGAATTCCCCGATGAGGGGTATAAGCTCCCTGACAAGGAGGTCCATGATCTATCCCCCTCCCCTGCTCCGGTCAGGGAAAAAATTAAATTTGTCAGGGTAATTTTATTTTTTTATTAAAAAATAATAAAAGGTAATTATGGGATTCTTTATTTAAAAAGGATAATTTGATAGAAAACCATGCAAGTTAAGAATCTCCCTGTCGGGGTTACTAGTCCCCCTGTTGGTGGTAGCAGCCCCGCCGGGGGAAGAGCTGGCGCCGCCACTGAAACCCCTACGATCGCAACAGTATACACCTCACACATACGGTAGTACTGCTCGCACTGAACAGTTTTTAATACCTAAAATTTGACAGCTTAATATTGGCATGCTTGAATTGTACTTTCGGTGCTCAAGATTTGATTTTCCTCGACAACTTTGCTGGAAATTCTTTGACAGAGGGTCCTTTGCCCTTCTGGATCCCCCACTAAAACCTTCCCTGGGATGGCCAAAGGTTAGAAAAGATCCACAGTCCCCAAAAAACTTTTGAAACTATTAAAAATAAATAGATTTTGGCACCAATGGCATTCTATATTACTTTACATGGCGTTCCAGGCTTTTCTAATTCCGCGATCCAAATTCAACAGCATAAAAAGCTTCTAGATATGTTGGTGGCGCTCTCCGAAAGTTTCTAAAACTATGAAGAACCAATAAATTAGAGACTTGTGGCAAGTCTAGCCAAAGGTTTACCCAGGAGAATTTTTTAGTGGCATGCAAATAAACATGATAGAATTAAACATATTTTTGATACTGATATGAAGTTGGATCTTTTGCACAAACTTTGTGGATCTTGCATGATTAGCATACTGTACATGTGTCTGAAGATATTTTGATTACTGAATTGTTTGAATGACACGATATGTCATGATAATACTGTACAGTATGTCATGGCATGTAGAAAGGATATTCATATACTATAAGCTGGATAAGGTAGCCTTTAGGCCATAACATGAACATACTGTACAAGAAGTAATATTATTACATGTTACATTGAACAAGCTGTTAGAAATGGATGATAGTACCAAGGGGATAAAAATTATACCTCCTTGATAATACTGTACCCTGTAACCTGAGACAACATGGACTGGAGTAATGCTGAGTTTAGAGACCCATATATTATGCTGATGTAATAACTCTCAACTTAATTGCCAGACATAGCAACCATGTTTAGCATTATTAAGTCATGTTATGGAATGCCAAAATAGAGTGGCAGGGAACGTCAAGACAGAAATCCAAAAAAGAATTTATAAACATTTTTTTGGACAATATTGTATGTTCAAATATTTATTCATAACAGCTTAACATGGTCAAAATTGTACAGTAGTTTTTCTAAGCACCAGAAAGTTCCACTCCTGAACATGGATGGCGCCAGTTGGGGGACCAGGAGGGCCAGATCTCGACCTCCCACCCCCCATCGGGGAGAAAAACCGCAATTCGTCATGGAGAGGAAAAAATTATATGTATTTTCTACATATTAGTAGACTCTATCTATCTAAAAAATCAATTTAATATGCCTTTGAAACCTTATGCTCACGCTAGGGTCAAATTTTCTTTTGCCAAAATTGAGGAAGGTTTTTCATTTTTTTCACCAAATTAAAAATAAGAACGCGCCTCCAAAACCCTGCCCTTTAGGCAAACACATACTTAGATTGGGATGATGTCAGATCACCCAAAGTTTCATAGGTGTAGTGCATGACAAAAACAAGTTCAGCGTAATAACCGATAAAGTTTTAAGTAAACAGATTATTTAAACAAATAAAGAAACTCTATTATACTGTAGTTACATTTTATCGAAAAATTTCATTCTCTACAAATTTCCTTTGAAATTAAAATAGCAACATGAGTGACTGAGGCTATGTACTTTCTTAATCTACACCAGTGACGTATTTAACGACGTCCGAATCCAAATTAAACGTCTACTGATAAGCATCACCCGCAGACATGCTTTGAGTATTGTCTGGTGGAAGGTTTAATTTTTATTTTATGTAATATTAACATTTACTGGCGTGTCATTTTAATCAATTTATTGTAATCTCCAGTTTCTTTCCACGGCATCTGGTAGGCCTATGCTTGTAAGTTTTGTTATTTTTTATTACAATGTTTACATACTGTAACTGATAGATCGTCTGATTTTAGAAATTGATATTTGTGTTTGGACCGAATAACACAATCGGAATAGGAGATTCAGATTTTTAGAATACATGTATTATATTTTATGTAGTATAGTATAATATCTATGTTTTGCAAACTCGCTGAAGAAATAACGTTTTAGCGTTGTCTTTAGCGTGGAAACGATATTTTTAGCGTGTCATCTGCAGGCAATGATCAGACTGTGTGCTTTAAAACTGCCCATGCATGTCCATACGCATGCCCAGATAGAACTATCTATCTGTGATTTTCCACAAACTTGACAGTGTCTGAAATCTTAAATGCGGTGCAAATAGGGACACTTAGTGAGGCGATATGTCTGCTGCTCAAGATGGTAATTACTTAAGAGCCTAGCCTATGCCTAGCCTAGACAAAGATTAAATTTGTTTATATTAAAATCTGCTTTCGCCATTTTGGCGAACGATGCCAATTTTTTTTTTTTTATTGGACAACCACTGTGCATGTTTTCAACAATTAACTATGATGAGTACCTATACTTCAAAATAACTATCAACATATCCTATGTCAATTTCTTTTTATTTCACATACTGATTTACTGTACTAAAATCATATACTTATATAAAAATAACATCTAATGCTAACAGTTTTGCCTATGTAATGATTGTGGAGCAGTGTGGCGATTGTCGGTAGGTTTGGACTCGGCTACAGGCGAGTCGAGTTGTCGAGCAGTAAGGCAGGGTGCTGGGCGCCCATAACATAGTCACTGGTTCAAGCCACTCCTCACCCAGGGTTCAGATTGTAGAGTCAAGTCCTCTCGGATAAAACGGGAGGTCCAGTGTGTAAATTTAAAGAACCCATGCTGTACTGTACTTTTCGGAAGAGTACAGTAGGAGGTTTAATACCTCGATGCTACAGTATGGTTCATTTCAGCTGTTGTCATTGTGGAATGATGTGAACTAAGCACCTCTCTATGGCTGCTACAATAGTCATGGACCACGCCCATACGTAATTCAGCGCAACGAGCTGCAAGTTTAATGGATTCCTCCTACCTTTACCTATAGAAAACCAGTTTACGAAAATTGATCTAGACAGCAAATACAGGAACAATGTACCACATCTCTATAATGAAAACTTTTCTTCTGACAACTAAATTATATTTTTTACAGAGTAACAGATCTCTGTTTGATAACATGCTTTCCATCTGACAACTCCATATAAAAAATGTGACAAGTATCATTGAAGAGAAAAAACAGCAACCACTATCTGAAGAAAAAGGAGCTACGCCATGCAAGAAAATTCATAGTTGAAAAATTACAATGTATGATCTGCCATCACACACTGGTGTCTGCTGACTGACAGAGAACCCAATACTCTCTCTATCTGTGCTACAACTTTACAAATTGTGTTTATACAAATACTACAAGTACACTCCATAAGGTAAAATAATGAAGATATCTTACCTAAGAGATGTTGGAACATAAGTCCCTGTACCAGTGCTGGTGTCACGCCATTATAATCTCCAATGATACTTGAAAAGATAAGTTTTTACTGCTCTACAATAGACCTGGTCAATGCTACAGATTACACCTTCCTGGACAAACACCTGTCAATAAAAAACAATTCATATAATACTTGCAAAATGTAAATAATAATAATAATACAAAGATTAAAGTTAACCTTTAACCTTTGAATACCAACGCAGTTATTTGGTGAATATTGACAAAATATGTAAATTGTATAAATAAAACATTATTTGATCATAGTGTCTGAAGACAAAGGCTGTGAGTCTAATAAACTAGACAAAATTGAATAAAAAACCTCTAATCAAAGAATATTGTAGCGAAACAGAAAGGTTGTTTTAGAACAGAATATTAAATCAAGTAAACTGGGGTCTTAAAGTAGGTATGTCGGTATAAAACTGCAGGATCCCTAAAGTGGGTAGGTATGTCCTATAAGTTGTCGGGTGGCATAGAACTGGATGCATAATTTTAGAACCACAAGAACACTTTGACGCAGAGATTGCATTTTGATGTTACTTTTTAGGAGAACCAAGTTTCCCTGTGGGTAATACAAATTAAATTTAACTTTCAAACTGTTATAAAGCTGATAAATCATTTGGACCCTCAACATGTAACAATACAAATCAGAAAACATCTCAACATCATAAAATTATTAAAGAAAACATTAAACACAAACATTTCGAAGATTTGAAATATAGGTTAAATACAGAAGGTGTCTGTAGTTGTCTGTTTCACACGTGCTCTTAATAGCAAGGCACGTATTACGCTCGATTCAATCTCTCCACCCACGAACATAGATTTGAATGCTTATACATGCGGACTGCACATGTGCAGATCTGCAATGGTGTGCAACACTCTCCATGGAGCTAGAGATTGTGTTGCGTTTGACATTTTGTTGAAATGACAGAGGGGTAATAATGTGAAGTGCCATGCCTAATATGCACATATTAAAATAGACAATTATGTTCTTGTGGCAGGCAGATGTTAGGTTATGAGGGACACTTAATGGTATTTAATATAGTAGCATGCATCTAGCATACTTTACCGAGTTAAAAAAAATAAATTTTAACTATGCCAGGACTCAGTAAAACTAGTTCTTTTTTAGCTCTGTCTACACTATTAAATTTTATGTAAGAAATCAGTAAGTAATGTGCCATATATAGGCATGATGATGTCATATTACACCCAAATATAAGCATTATCACATATTTTGAACATAAAATGTTATAGTGTGGACAAAACATTAAGCTCCATGGCAGATATAAGATTCTATTAAAGTGGAAGCTTACAGTACTGTAGAAACAGAGCACTAATCTGGGGTGGATGCAGGATTTGGGGGGGGGGGGGGGGGGGCGGAGGGTGAATGAGGTGAGAAGATTTTGAGAGCAGTGTACCTCTAGGTGCCCGGACATGTACTCACACTCTAAAAATCTTACAGGTTAATTCATATTAATAATAAAATACGACGATTTTTTCTCAATACAATTCAGAGGGGTGCGATTGCACTGTTTGAATCTGCCCTAGCTACAGTAATCTGTCTAAAAAAAGTAGTCCTGTCTTGGAGTTTTCTCCACAACTGTGCCCAAGTTGAAATAGAATCTAGATAGTACCAGAGGGGAAAGGGGATTAAACTCCACAATAAGACAGGCTTAGTCCTGTCAACTACAAATCGGATGACCAAAAACATTTTTCTTCTGGGAATATGCTCTAAACTATCCCAATAGAGCTAAAATGACCAAGAATTATCCTGTCCCCCATACCACACCAGGACTTCGGGTCTGGACAATGCTGACCTATCGCTGAAAATTATCAGCCACCACAGAGTGTCAGATGGCTTTGCCTTCCTGAATATCCTAGAGTTCACCATTGACTTCAGGTTACAATTTATATATATATATACACATATATATACATATATTATATATATATATATATAATATATATATATATATATATATAAT